TCTTGCATGAAATTAAATATAGTACATTCGAATGTTCACATGTTAGATGTTCCTGGATCGGGTACCTTTTATTCGTAGAGTTGCTTACAAAATAATGAGTTTCTGATATAAAGGGACATGTTTTGCATCTACTGGACAAACATGGAGAACTTCTTAAACCTGGAGGTACTTCGGCATAAAGTCTGTTTTTAGCTGCTATCTGTGCTAAGGTGGAATTTTTTATGTTTCGTAAAAATCGTTGCCCATTGCTGTCCCTGAAGTTTGTAAATATGTTTTACCATTAAATGTGAAATCGTTTCGACTAAGACAAATCTCTAAAAGCTGTAGAATTGCATCGTCGGGTCTGTTTGGATCTGGGTTTCTATTAAAAGCTTTACGAACTGCCGTTAAACCAGTAGTGTTATCGATATTGGTATACATAGAAGAAACGTCGATAGAAATTAAAATAGCATTAGAGGGAACTCGAAGATTTTTTATTTTATTGACAAAATCGGTTGTGTCTTTAAGGTAGGCACGATGTTGGCATGCTAGAGGTAGTAAGAAATGATCAATGTATTCTGACACTGCATATGACTCACTACCACAGTCATATATAATCGGGCGGCCTTTAGGGATTTTATTCGAGATAAACCACTCCTTGGTTGGATTCTTATGGATTTGAGGCAAAGTGTACAAATGTTTCTCGCGACAATCAGGTTTGGCAGACAGATAGTCATATTGTTTCTGTTTGAGATAACTAGTTTTGACTAAATCGGCAAGAATATTATTAATCATGTTAGCAGTTTCTTTGAAAATTGGTTTCGGTAAAATGGCATAATGTTTAGGATTATTCAGTTGATTCTCTGCTTCTGAAACGTAATCCTCCCTATTCAGAATGACACAACATGAACCTTTTGTCACTCTTTTTAATAACAATGCTATCGTCTTTCTTAACTAAGTTTAACGCTTCACGTTCCACTCGTGTGAGATTAGGCTTTTCGTGTGTTATGGAAAGGTTCACTGTTTGGCTATTCATACTCGCAAATGCTTTCAATATTTCAGGATGGATGGCGGCCTGAGGGGGTGTCCACGTGGATTTAGGAATAAACATTGTTCTAGCACCACGTGGGGGGTGGTTTCGAAAAAAATATGTGCAGCTAAGATTTCGTTGAAATCGTTCAATGGATGGTCGGAGATAATTCAAGTTAGCTATCTGTGGTGTGGGAATAAACTTAAGTCCACGGTCTAAGATTGAATGCTGAAGGGGTGTGAGAATTTTGCGGCTCAAGTTAACTACAGTTTGGCCTAGCGGTGGCCTCTCAGTATTTTTTATCCCCAGTAATTAGTTTAAAGACTTACTCGATGCTTGAAGCTGGTGTATCCAAAACACATAGATGCTGTTTGCTGTTTCTGGAGACCAATGAAGATTATCAACTGTTTCGAATTCTTCTTCGTAGGGTGGTAAGATTGTTGCACTGTTGATACTGGACTCCATCACCATGTTGTTGAGAGTGCTGAGGTTCTGTTGTGCTTTCTTCGAGATTTTATTTGAAATGGGTATACATGTGAAGAGGATCTTGGAGTTTGGGAAGGTTTTGTTGGCTGTGGCGATTAATTTCTGGGCTTGGTTAAAGGAGGTCTTTGGTATCTGATCACGGTTGTTGAGGCCTACATGAAGAATAATGGTAGTAGGTTTGGGATCATGGTCGTACGATTCCAGGATTGACTGTATGTGATGGATTTGGGCACCGGGGTAAGAATGTATTTCGGTGTCTGAACTGGTTTTGGTAATTCGATTCAGGTTAGATGATCCAATTATTAAGGTAGATTTCTTTAGAGCAGGTAGTTTCCATAATGATTTGTCCTTGGTTTGGTGATAATACGGTTTGGTAGCGGATATAATGGTCGTCGACGGTGTGATTGGTACTGGTTTGGTAGTTGTTAGAATTGTAGCATTGGGAAAGGACTGGGATCTGGTTCGAGGAGGGGGGGGGAGGTCTGGATACACGTCTCGACTTGGATGGAGACTGAGGGATGGTTTGCTGGTCCAAAAACGCACAGAAGGAAGAAAGGTTGGCGGATCCTGGATCACGTGGTGAAGATTCAGATGGTGTGGAAGGGGAAGACGAGTCTGAAAGTGAAAAGAGAAGGGGTGTGCCCTCTCTACGAGAGCGTTTACCTATGTCTGCTGGACTAGGAGTAGGTGAACTTCGGGCTCGTTTAGGGGTTTGGTTCGGCAGCGTGGTGGCTCTAGATGGTGCAGGTGTAGTGTCCATTTCAGTTGGTAGAGATATGGTTACTCTGGTTTTTGTTTCGTTGATTGCTTGGTAGAATTTGGAGATTACTGCTTGAGTGAGACTTTTCCCATAGGAGCGACGGGCCCAGGACAGGGCATGAGAATCGATGCGGTCGACGGCGGTGATGATAAAGACTTGGTACGAATGGTGGTCAGCTTCTCTTGAAGTGTGGTTTGGTAATGGTCGATCAGGACCTGCGTAACCTTACAGAGCCATGTCCGATTGAGGGATCTAATATTCGCGTCGACAGCTGATGTTTTCATTGCTGGACGGATAAAACTATCCAACTCAGAGACTTTGCGTTTGAAGGTAAACGCTGGTTGGCCTTGCTGTTGAAGCTTAAGGATTGCCAAATGATGGAGGCACTGCAAAACTTGGAAGAACACCTTCACAAAGGGTTCTTCCTCCTCATGAGTGGGGACTGGTTGGCGTCGGTGGGCTGGTAGTCGTTTCTGTTGTTGGTCAGGTCGATGGTTACCTCTTGATTGGTAGGCTGTGTTGTAGTAGGTCGGCGATGGGGTGGGATATAGCTGGATGGGTTGGTTGGTGGTCGGCGATTGGTAGGTGGTAGAGGTCGATGGAATACAGGGCCGTTGTAGGGTACGTGATATTGGTTTGGTTGACGATTAGTGTTTCTATTTCTGGCTTCTTGCCAGTGGTTGTTGTAGTTGGGGAGCATAATGAAAATAACTTGGGGTTAGAAGGGAATGTACAGCGGATGTAACAGGAGGAAACTGTATATGCTAGCGTGAAAATGTTGGGATCAAATTATGCAAATAAGTCAAACTGAGTTTGGGGATATATAAAGTAAGATGAAAAATGCAAAAAAATATATATTTAGGTGATAAATAACGCTAACAATGATGTGAAAAATTATAACAAGTAAAACAAAAACGCAACGCAAACGCAATTGACACGAACCGGTTTTCGAAATATTATCCTTTTTCAAGTGTCGAGGAATGGTTATGAAATTATATCCTTTATTCGGTCTGTTGGAACACAGAAAGGTTTCCATAGGGTTACCATATAAAATTCATCTACAAAGAGAAATCAATTAAACCAACAAGATATTCAATGGTTGGTTTCAAGAACTTAGCAGATTCTCAAACGAATAACAATAATGTCTTCAGAATGGCAATGAACCAAACTCAAGATCCTATAATCCATAAAGTTCAAGTAAGATTAAACAACGATAATTATCCTAACCAACCTTTAACAATTATTCCAACCACAAAGGATTATAATGAATTGTATAGAAACTATGAAAACATGTGTGAATTATTTGGAAATCCGCCTCAGTTTGAATATGTAGATTTTGCACTTAATCATCCAATCTTCTGTTTTGATCTATCAGCTCACCAAGAAGATCTTTTCAAAACAAAGTCAACATAAATATTCATATTGAAAAAACACAAGGAGATGTAACCGGTCATTGTTTACTATCCGAAGAAGCAAAACATTTAATTAAAATAGCATATAGAAGAATGATAAGAATTGAGTAAAAAATACACCCTTAAAAATGAAACCAGAAACTTTAGTTATGAAAATAATAGACGCTGTTGAAACAGATTACCCTGTAATAACTTTCAACGGTAAAAAATCAGTGTAACTAAAAAACTTATTGATAAATACAAATATTGTAAAGTTAGAGACGATATAGATTTAGAAAGAATTGACGCGAATGTAAAAAAAGGTGGATTTATATTTCCCCTACCTTTAATAGTTGCTGGTATTACCGCGGCGGCTACAGAGGCTGGTGCTACAGCTTGTGGAGTAAGCGTTGCCAACGAAAAGTAAGTTGCTATTGCAAAAGCTGCTGCTACAAAAGCTGCCGAAGAAAAGAAAGCAGCCGAAGAACATAGACACATTTAGCATTGGAAAAGTTGGCAGCAGAGGTTAAAAAAACCTAAAACGGAAAAGGAAAGGTTCAGGAGTGGGAGAAATGATAGGCACAATGAAAGAATTTGGAAAAAGATTTAGAGAAGAAACCAAGAAAACTGTTAAACAAGGATTAAATAAATTAGTAGATAGTATTGACACAGGAGAAATCAAAGTCAAACATAAGGGTAATGGAATATTTTTAAAAAATATACACACTGGAGAAGGAATATATCTTTCAAAGTATAAAGGAGAAGGAGTGATTTTTGGAACAAATTAAAATAATAAAAAATGGGCAAAAAATTTAATCATTCAGAAATCTTTCCTAATAAGCCAATGCTCATGTGTATATGCGGTAGTTCCGGTTCTGGGAAAACTCATCTCACTTTTAACATGTTGACAACACCAAACCTTTTAGTTTTCGATTCTTTGTATATCTACACAACAACACCAGAGCAATCGTATTATCAATTTCTCAAAGCTTTAGAATATCTACCAAAGAAAGATGTTCAAGAAGTGGAAATAAAAGATATCATAGATAACTACATCGAAGGAAAGAATCCAACGGATATATAAGTTTTTCTTACCAAAAATGTTAATGATCTAGACTTGTCTAATATTGATAGCAAACGAAAGAACTTAATATTGTTTGACGAGTGCGTAGCGCAAAGAAATCAAGCTGTTCAACAAGAATTCTTCACGAAGGAAAGACATCACAACTGTCACTGCATATACCAATCCCAATCTTTTTACGGGATGGATTCTATGTTTATTAGAAAAAATGCAAATTGATTTTTATTATTTGAATTAAACGATAAAGATTTATCTCAAATCATTCAGTCGATAAATCACGGAATGGACAGAGATGCATTTAAAAAGGTTTGTAAAGCTCAATGGAAAAATCCAGATGAACATGGATATGTATTTGTAAATACTAGAAAACCTGCGGGTGAAAGAGTTATGATCGGCATATGTTAATTTTATTTTTTTAAAAATGGATTGGAATAATATTTTAATAAGAAATATAGAATATATCAAAGCTAAGAATAAAATAAAGACCCAAGTTGAAAATAACAGATTACAACAACTCGGATTAACAGAAAATCTACAAACTCTATTTCAACCCATATTAAAATCTCAAGAGGATATTAAAAGGAAATTAGCTTTAGAATATAAACCTCCTATAGAACCCACACCTCATATAGAACCTCATCACCCCAAACCGATTGAATATGGTGGTATTATAATTAGGACATTAGATGATATTAATAGTCTTTTTTCAAACCCTAAAGCAGATTTACCAAAGAGTATTTCACCAATCGTTGATAATCAAGGTTTATTGTTTAATGGATTAAGAATAATATTTAGTCCAAATTTTCCTTTATTCAAAATCGATACAAAAGACTTTATATTAACATTAACGAGAGGATTAATAGATTTAATGAATGGCGAGGATGTTGGTATTGCCGATTATAAGGATTTGGTAGCATACTCAAAATTTCTAGATGCAATAAGAAAGTCGGGACCCGAAACAAGAAGACCGAAAGAAGTTAAACTATATATAAGAGTAATTGATCAAGATGATGAATACGAAGTTGACGAAGTAGATGATTATGCTGAAGACAACAATTCAATCACACAAGAAATAGACGAATTCGATGATATGGTGACATCTGGAGAAGGTATAACGTTTTTATCCGACAACAACGAGGAACTACTTAATAGATTACGAGTAATATTAGCGGCAATGAAGGAAGGACATCGATCGCACAGACAATATAATGAAGTAAATTGTATATTAAAAAGACTCCTAGAAAAGGGTATCATAGATAAAAATGATTATAAAAGCGTGATTAAAAATGTCAAATAAAGAACAACTATCGTTATCACTTCAAATAAATCAGACATTAAATTATCTCTAGATTATGAGTACGAACTCAATCGCAATCAAGAATATGAATTGGGATTAAAGTATTTCTCTGTTTACAATTCCATTAGAAATATCAACGAAAAATATAACCAACTAAAAATATCAACAGATAATGGAGTTACGTTCAAAACCATACGTTTACTACCAGGAAGCTACGAATACATAGCCATTAACGAATACCTATCTGAATATGGAGGAAGTGTCAATGGTAAAAACAATATTGAATTCGAAGGTAATTTGAATCTGAACAAAATAAAATTGATATTAAGAAATAATAGTCAAGTTGATTTCAACGTAGAAAATTCATTGAATACGTTACTAGGATTTGATAAACGACTATACACCCAATCCACTTTAGCACCACACAAAGCTAATATCGAGAATGATATCGATGTGATAAATATACATTGCAATTTGATAAACAATAAATACAAACGTCAGATTATTTACAGTCTTCCAACATTCACTGTACCTATAGGATATAGACTTATAGAGAAACCATTTCAATCGACGTATTTACCACTTAATTCCTTTATGATTGAAGATATAAATCTGGAAATCAAAGATGGTAAAAATAGGTTTATAGATTTTGGTAACGAGGAAATTGTTATTCAACTTCATTTAAAACAAAAGAACTAATTTATTCTGATGGATCATCATTAGATACATTTGTAAAATAATCATCAAATTCGTAGTTTTCATCCAAGCACATCTCCTCCCCAGAGTTGTAAGGATACATTTTTCCTTCGTCGTCCGGTGCTTTTCTCTTTATGAGATTCAGGTAACTTCTAAATTTTTTAGTTTGTTTTTCATTAGGAATAACTATTCTGTAACGCACCAGTAAAGGGATAGGAAGAGAAATGTTCTACTTCTC